CCCACAGTTGGATCACAATTTATTTTTAACAAGCACAAACATTTTGTGCAAAAGGCTAATACCGTATCCAAACTATACTACAAGTCTCCAAATCACAAAATCAAAACCACTAGTTAGTAGGATTAAAATCCCATGTGTGCTTTTATTGGGGTATACGGTTTCTAGCATCCTCTTTTGAAGTGTGGTGACACGACAACATAGAGACTAACTAGCAAATGCTAGGATGACACATGCAGCAAGGGTGCAGAAATAATTAGCACACTTGTCTTATACAGACACAATCTACAAGATTAAATTGGAAGTGTACCATATTGGAGAATAAGCAGTCACAACATGCAAATAATATGGAACCCTATCCTAGATTCTGATAATCTGTGGACACTAATTATCTCTGGGGCCTAGGGTGTATTTTATTGGTTCTACACAAAACCCAGTTTTGGGTGACGTTCTCGTTTTAAAATTTTTCAATACTAAAGTAACAATGATACAGAAATTAAATTTCAGTCCCCCAGAATTGCACTTTTTTAACATCATCCACTAACAAACCATAAAAAAATTACAAGCTAGATATACTCTGGACAAAGTATATGCATTTATTAAAGCTGTAAGTAACTGCTGCATAAACCAGGATAAAGAAATTAAAAGTCAATGTTACACTCAGTCAGATATCTTGTTGGCTTTTACACAAATAACCATCTAACTAAAGGACTATTTTCCTATTTAGCTACATGCACACCTTAACAAATCAGACACAACCAGGCTCAGCCGGATTACAGTGAATACTACAGTGAATACTCCAATAATGTGTTCAAGAAATCACCATACACAAAGAGTAGTAGTGTTCTTTATCCCACGTAGACCGTCATAACTAATAATGAGCTTATTAGTTTGGAGTGTCTAAATCATTTGTAGACAATGAATTGCAGTACAAGGTACTTGTCAAATGAAAAGACATATATTTAAGCCTAACCTCAGCCATTTTTTTTGTTTTGGATAAAGTAGGGAAGATAACATTTCTGTTTGATTCTATTTCGTTGACCACATTGGGGAGATTTTAACTCGCTGCATGTCCCATGCCCATACAAATAATCACCAGGACAGGGAGAGATTTTTCCTTTGCTTCCTATCACAACAAAAATCTCCCTAGAAGGGACACTGATGGCAACAAAAACCTGACAGAGGCTTTAAAGTGACACTAAACTCAGGAGTTACATTCTAAAAATACATCCAAGTACCTTAACTATTGACAAAATGTAGCTTATTTGATTATCACTCAGCTGATAATCAAATCATCTCTGAATTCATGCTGACACTGTCCTTCCTTCTGGAGGGTGGCTACTTTTGTTCCCCATGGTCCTGTGTGTATTGTAAAGTAGTCACCGCTCCAAGTTCTCCTCTGTGATGGACTACAATCGTACGTTTAGGGCTTGTTCACACCAAATGTGGTGCGTTGCAGAGCGGTAGCTGCTGGAACACACCGTGATCCCTCACAAAACTTCCCCCTGCATTCAGGGGCTTGCTCTATTTTTTGCGTTTGCAGTGGAACGGAACGCAGGCAAAGTTTTGCCATGCGTCCGATCGCACTGTGGGCGGGGGGACGTGGAAGCGGTGCCATTGAATTCAATGCACCGCCACATCCCCTCCCTTCCCGGAGCACAGGGGAAAGTTTTGTGAGGGATCGCAGTGTGTTCCAGCAACTACCGCTCTAGAACGCACTGCATTTGGTGTGAACAAACCCTTAGTTTACGAATTTGTTTTGAGTTTGTAGTCTATCACGGGAGTGAGCTTTGAGCGGTGGCTACTGTACAACAGTAAAGTAGAATATTTTGGCTGAAGTTGGGCTTAAAGTTCACCCAAAAAAATTTACTCTAGTCAAAATTGAGCATCAATAAAATGCATAGATGGGGTAGGGTGCTAGACCACCTTACTCCCTTTTATCTGCAATCAGATGGTCTGGGAAATCATTTTGCCCACTTGCAGGACAGTTATTTCCCAAACACAACCAATACCGGCTTCTTGTTGTCTGTCATACATACAGAATGTTAGTACTATGTTGCTCACAGGCTCCAATCAGACTGAGCTAATCTTGAATCTAGTTGGTGGTACAGGAAGCAGAGACAAAAGATACTAAACAGCACATGCTTTATCAAGCAGACCGAGCATACCTGCATGGGAGGAACTCCCAATGTGAAATTTGGCAGCTACGGGTTAAATAGAAAAAGTACACTGAGTAGATTTTTGTACATCTGCAGTGTTTCCTGGCTAGGACTAGCTGTGCACTGACTAGTCCCCTTTGTTGACTGCAATTTCTCTTGACTATACTCACAAATACACTTATAATGTACTCATAAATACCATACTTATCTGTGGTATAAAACAATATAATTTAAGGCTATTTGTGACAGGATCACACAAGTTGAAACAAAGAAAGCTATCTTTTGCACATATGTATTTTTTATTACTGCTACATCCCCATTTGTAAGATTTACTGTATGTAGTTATGAAGATCACAGATGACTCTGAGATAGTAGAAGATGTAATGCCCTATTAGCAATAGTGCAAAAAAGTAATAGAGGTGTATGACAAAACAAGGAGATATGCGCTGTATGAGAGCAAATGTCTGAAGGTTGATGGGATTTTAACAGCATGGACCATTACGCAAGCACTAGCTAATGAAGTAAGGTCAGCATGGTAACAAGAAATGCAGCTTTAGTATATGCTTGTGTGGATTATCAATTAACAATTGTATCATGAGGATGTGATTGAGCAGAACATAATAAAATCACTATATTTTGGGGGTTCTAACAGCAGCTACAAAATACAGCACAGATACATAGAACATTCTATGGATGAGCAGATCACCACAGGTTGTCAAAATATTGAAATCTATATCATTATTTTGATATATAAACAAAACTGAATTGATGGCAAGCTAAGTTCCAGGCATCAATAATCAGAAATTATCTCAATTGTGCTCAATGTATTGTTCAATCACGACAAGAGCCAGTTTTGATCGATTCTTACACGTGCACAAAAAGAACATGGATTCGTAGAAGTCATCTAGTGTTTTGTTCAAAGTATTTTTCATTATGGCATAGAAAATTATTCTATAGCAAATATAAAAAAAGGTCCTGAGCTTCTTATATTCTGATGCAAGTGGTAAAAGAAATGGAAATGCTCAGAATTTTAAAAAGGAAACGAAGCTTGAGTAATGAATAAAATATGAATGCATTGATATGAACTCTCTACTACTAAATCTCTACCCAGCTCCTGCACTGCTGGTATGTACCTTCCGAGCCCCTGATAATATCTAGGTATGCAGTACACATATACAGAATGTGACAATGTAGAGCCAGAGCAGCCAATCACCAGGTCCATGCTGTCACATGGGCAGCAGGGAACGTTGCTTAGACCTGTGCAAGTTTCAGTTTTCTCAAAAGGTTGATACTAGCATAGGATTTCCAATGGTTCCACAAGCCCAGCATTGGGAAAGTAAGGTAAATGTTGTGGGTATTTAGCCATTTTAGAAAAAATATTATATTCAGCTATCAACTGTAATAAGTGATAGTCAGATTACCCACCACAGATTGCTGGCTGTAAGTGCCCCACGCTCCATTGTGGAGTGTAAGTTGCCCTCTCATTGTTACTGAGTGAATGAGCTATTAGTCAATCTTGTATCACATTGATGACATAGCTCAAGCCCTTATGAATGTGCACTGTCAGTATGACATAGATGTTCTTAATTTAAGTTATTTTGATTTATTAAAATTGACATAAGGGTATCTGCATCATGATGACATGGTGCTTATTGACCCATCTACTTTGATAGGTAGTTGGGGAATCAATGCTCTGCAAGTGTAGGGGACTGCTGGTCCACCTTGCAGCAGCTAGGTGAACTGGTAAGGTATCTATTCAGTAGGCATGTAATAGTCACTGGCAGAGAGATTGCCTGTAAATTATGCTTAGCTGGACCATTTACAATTTTTAACTATTTACAACCACTAATAATACAGTTAAAATGTATCTTTTGTCCACATCACCATTAACCCTCTAAATAGAGTTAAAATGCATCTTTTGTTCACATCCCCTTTTACCTTAAGAGGCAAAGCAACTACCTCTTTTCCTCCTTAAGCTGCACCAGACCATGCCTGCATCTAATATGCCCCTTTGGGTGGATGCTCAATGGTAGAATCACCTGTCCACATTTTATATTATTTCAAAACTCAAAAACGCTCCCATCCCAAGATCAACTCCCCTACCAAATTTTATTGAAATGCTATACCATATTAGCTTTCAAAAGAAGGAGGCAAATGCCACGTTAAGCAATGCCTTCAAACGTAAACAGAATATAATCACCCATTTTTGATACTGCTCTGGTCTCTTTTTTTAGGCACGTCCTGCAGTTTTAAAACACTCAGTGAATAAAAAGTATATTTCCTCATTTATTCTAGGACATGGAGCATACAGCAAGAGGAGTGATACTGGTAATAGGCTGGTGTCCCAGGTAATGGAAGACTGCTCTTGATTTATTACCGCTATTCTTTCTCATGTAACCAGATCGCAAAAATATAAGAAGAAAAAATGCAGAAAAATTTGTTTCTATAAGTTACAGAAATACATTTAGTCACAGTGAACTGTAGCCATAGGTGGCAGTGCAAGTAACAATAACTTGGGTAGATTGGGGGTGACTGAACTAAAATCCCTTTCATGGGGTGAATGGGCTGAGACCCACCAGAGTTCCTGAGGATGTGAGAAGCTAGAAGTGATTCCGCCCACCAAAGTCAGCTTACAGCTGAAATAAAGTTTTGGATACAATGAACTTTGCGTATACACATACAGACATATTCTGAATCCGGCAAGTAACAAACTTGGTGCTAAACTTTTCAACATCTCTGCTGAACATGGATTACATTTGCCCATATTCAGTCCGCTCTTTATATTTTGGCCAACCAAACACCTGGTTTTGGGTTTCATATCTGGTACAAAGCATCGGTTCTTACCTCTGCATCATGTTCCTGCAGGCTGTAGGTCGTCTTTAGGCATTGCAGTGTTTTGGCGCATAAAGTATTTTCCTGCAACAGCAAATCCAAAAGCAGAACCAGCTGATCTGGAAGGATCTGTGAACAAAAACACTTTTGTTACTGGCGTTTTTATATGCAGCATAATTATTCATATATGGCAATATCTAGTGACTCTTTCAAAACGTCTATATTGTTCAGAAGAAATAAATCATGTGTATTAGAATTAATACCACATAGGGAAAGCCACACTGTTGTAGTATCATTTATCATATAAAGGAAAAACATTCAACACTGCAAGGAACATACTACTTGAGCTATTTCATGCATATAATTAACAAGACATATTTTACAGCTGATGATAAACTGCGGGTTTATACAGCAAAAATATCTCGATTATAAAAGAAGTCTATGGTAAAAGAAAAAAAAAAAGAAGCTTGACTGGGTCGTAACCCTCACGTACACTGCACAGCATCCAGTCACTGTTTTGAAATGACTGGAGTGTGCTGTAATTCAAGGTAAAACACATCTGCAAAGAGTCAGAGAGACAGCAAACTTAAACAAAAAGTATGCATACCACAGTATAAACATATGTTTTTCCTTTTTACAATTTTTCTTTATTCGCATATTAAGCAAAAGATCAACAACTCTTCAGACACACAAAACATTTGTATCGTTTTCATAACGGTCCATTAAAAATACATATTAAACTAAAAGTCAAACTTTGGACATTTTTGATCAGCCACAAAAAAGACAGGTAAAATTATCAAAGTTCAAAAAGGAAAGAAAAAGAGAAAGAAAGAAAGCAGGTGCTGCTATTGTAAATGACACATGACTAATTAGTCCTTGTTTACATAGTCGTTTATAGATTATGATATACCGGTATTATATATTATTTATTCCTTTAAAAGTGCACTCTGCCCATGTTGTGATTTTATATTCCTATAAACCAGGTGTTGCAGCCTTCGGTAAATCATAGGTCACGACAGCTCAGACTCTCGCTTGTAACAATGACAGGCCTCAAGGTATGACACACCTTGTCTCTACTACATAATGTTCCATTGACATGCTACTGAATTCAGATTTTACAAAATACATATCATTTTGCAACCTAGCCCTTAAATTTGAAACCTAAAAGCAGAAAACATTAGATCCCTTAAATATGGTGAAACGTACACACACAACAACGCTTACTGGAGGCCCAGGCTTGAAAGGAATATAAGAATTCTGAGGTAACTGGCACTGTCATACATACATACAGAGCCTTGAATAAAGTCAGCCTTCTTATATTACATATTAGTTTTGTATTTGTTGAATTCCCAAATAATTTATTAGTGACAAGATGGAAGACAATGTAGAAGTAAATGTGATACTGTATTTGATGCATACATCTACACCTAGAAATCACATGGAAGAAATAATTCATACAAGAACGTTCCGTCAAAATATTAAGAGATACTGTTCCCCATTCCCACAATTTACCAATTCACAAAAACTAATCCAGCACACTAACTCTTAATATTCTTAAGGATCAAATTCCAAACAAATTTCGAAACAATTAGCCATCCATGGTAAAAACAGGACAGATTACTTCTGTCAAAGATGATAATAACATACCACATAATGTTTAATAATTTCAACAAATAGGTCAAAAGTTTATTTGACAAGAACTTGTTTTATGCAGGAAAAAAATTGACAGCTGCAAAATAAAATAAAAACATAATTTGTTCAAAAAAACTCAGGAAAAATTAAAGAAAAAAATGTAGAAAAGATATTCATTCACATGTGAAAAATATTTCTGCACAACGTTTACACTGGTTATGCAAAACAATTCTGTTACTCGTTCTAGGATCACATCAAGTGCAGATGTTATCGACTGTGTCCCAGTCATAAGTAAAACTTATGATAAATTACTTTCCTGTATGCATAGTTTATCAAAATATTTCTGATATAAACTCAAACACAACTCTTTAAATCATTAACTGACATTACAATTGGAGGCTAACACAATTTCTGAGTAACTTTTCAGAGGTACCTGTTACGAAACATATCTAAAACATTATTAAAACACATTGAAATAACATTAACTTGTTGAATGCCAGAAATCATAACCAAGAGCCTTGTTTGAAAAGTTTAGCCAAAAAGAAGAGAAAAAAAATAAACAAAATTTCAAATCAAGCATTATGCGTGAAATGGTGGATGGAAGAAATCGGGTGTAGGTATACAGATTAAAGCAATACTCAACTCCAAAGCCACACTGGGAAAGTATAAAAGTCAATCCCACGTCTTGTAAAACATTCACAATACCACAGCCCAATGTCACAAAACGCAAATTTGTGATGCTGTCACGCATTGAAAATTCGACATGGTAAAAAGAATTTCAGTTATCATTAAACTAAAATAAAAAAGTATTTGCTTTTACGCTACAGCAATGTGTAGTTGAAGGACATGACCCATCTGCCACATAATAGGAGACAAAGACCACCCACAACTTACAGATACGATCTGTCAATCCATACATTATGGCCAGACGATTAATGCCAGGTTCCGGATGGGTCCACATGAGAAAACAGTTGATTACTGACCTTTCCTCACGCATGAAATGTGACACAAGTCTGCACTTGAACATCCCCAGCACCACCACCGTCGACAACACTACACCCAGGAGTGGGAATCATACAAATCACACTACAGCTGGCATGCCGAATATCCCATTTGGTTCAGCTTGCACTTGAATGAGGGCATTGAAATCCTCCTCGGAGAGAAAATGTGCTGTGGACTAATGCAGTGAGCGATTAATAGTGGCGTGTTTTCTATTATTACTCCATTATCACGCTGGGATCTGTGCCTAAATGAGGCATACTTCCTCCCTGATGCCATTTCCTTTTATCCTGCCTGCAGTCTAAAAGCGGATCAATGGGAGTAATACATATGATGTCACTTCAATTTACAGACACTGCCTCCCTCTTTCTCATAGTTCAGATAGATCAATTCTTCCCAAAAATGGTTAAGAAATGCTTAGGGATCTTCTTCCACCAGAAAAGGGTTCTCTGCTATATTTATCCAAGTTACTACAGCCAGAAATGTTTATACTGAATTAAAGAGGGAAAAAAAGAAGGACAAGGAGGCACAGGCTTGAACATACTGGCTAGACTTCAATGAAAACAATGCACACAACCAAATTAACCCTTTGTGCACAGAGATCTGTTACTGTGTACAGTAAAGGAGGTCCCTTCTGCAAAACGAAAGGCACTCTGTACAATAAGCATTTGCAGGAAAAAAAAAGTTATAACCCAATAAAAGGTGTGAAGTTTTAGCTAGAATGCAAAACATGCACTATGTTAAAGTTATGCTGTTATCTAATCCAAGTGTATTTAAAATATTTTTTTTACGTTGCTAGATATGCTTACGTATAGAAGTTTGCAACATTCTGCAGGGCTATTTGCTAGTATGAGACACTTCTAGTGTGCTTATGAACACACACACATGACTATCCAGGGGTGAAAAGTGACGTTAATCTGTTAATTATCAGACATACACACAAAATGCTAATCTGCCAGTCGTCAGACATACATCTTGACAAAACTGCTCAGCCAGACTTTTTGTTTAATAAATATGCACCAAAAGGATGATGATCAACTATAAAACTAAATAACACAGATACTCAAACTGTATAATTATTGACATTGTGCTAAATAAAATAAAAGACCAGTGATATAAGTTTATTGCATAAATGACTATTTACGTCATGTACTGTGGCGTTCATTTTCTTAGGTATCAAGAAAAGATTTTAAAAGAAAGTTTATTACAGTCCTCAAGTCAAGTTATAACACAAAACATTTGCAGGTTGCAACGGGAACGCACTGTAGGACATTCCATTCAGCGTTAGTGTACTCATGTGAAATAAATCTTGCAAGGCCTACTTAAAGGGCCAGCAAAACCAAAAGTCATATTTCAGGTGATGAACGGAGTCACCCATGGACTTCTTAAACATCTAAGGGACTCCTGCAGAGAAATCGTTCTTGCACAGTTCTGGCCTCGGTTTCCACCCATCTTAGAGATTTGAGTAATCTTGCCCGCCTTGAGCTGTTCCCACTCCTACTGCAGTCTGCATATTTTTAAATAGATTAAATATTAAATAGCAAAAGGCTGGTAAACAGCTATCTCCCCATTAGGGTGGGAAATAATTAACATGGTGTTTTAAAACATTGCAATACAAATAAATGTTTGAGTGATGCTAACTAGGTAAACTGAATATTGCATAACTATAATAGTCAGATCATACCTGTAGAAGCAGAACTGTATTTTATACTACCTGGCTTGGAATGCTTGTAGCTTATGGATAACAGACTGTGGCTCCAATTTCCTCACCTGGCTCATAGTTAGGAATATACAGCATATCATGAAGGGTTTTGTTTGCCCAGGGTACTCCCAAAAAACATGTTGTTTTTTTTTATAGGTGCATAATTATCTAGAAACTACCAGAAACTGAAATATGTATTTTAGATTATTGCAGGGATCACGGCACTATGACAAATTCACACTATAATGTTGTAAACAGTTTTTTGACAACCCAAATGTACTTATTTGCCATTTATACTAAACAACATTTTGTACCAGAGGGGAAAAACAACACGCAACAGGAAAAAAAAATCGAGTTTTTAATCTATCAACCTGCATATTAAATATTGGTATGTAAAATTATAACCCCATTCCAAAGAAGTTTAATGCACAGTCCAAAATAAAGATTATTTAAGGCCATTTACTTGGCATTTTGCTAAAAAACATAAAGAAACCCTGCTGTTAGAATAATGATTAACAACAATATGCCCCCCCAAAATAAAAAAAAAAGCTCATACTTAACCTCTCCTGCTGATAATCTGTGCTGTATTGCAGAGATACCTGTGCTGGAAGAACCTATAGAAACTGACATGTCTGGGAGTGTCAGAATCCTGGTCCCCTGCTTTACTCTGTGATTCCTCAAGCTGGCCCATCACTACAGAACACAAGGGGAACAAGGCATCCAACACACATCGAACGGTGCTGAATGTATAGACCCTTCAGCAGTGTATATCCACAATACAGAGCACATTGATGGG